TAAATAAATAAATAAATAAATAAATAAATAAATAAATAAATAAATAAATAAATAAATAAATAAACAAACAGACACCAGACAAAAAAAAAACCCTGCTACCCCTTTGGGGAATAGGCGGTAACGATAACGGATGGATGGATGACAGAAACCCAAAAACCAACCCTGGGGGGCCGTGAACTCCAGCTCCGGGCTGCTGTCGCTCAGCCGCTCGCTCAGCTCCGACCCCGTCCTCACGCTGACCGCGTAGGTGGCCCCGGCCTCCAGGTCCTGACCCGATATTTCGTACACAAACCGGCCGCCCGCCTCCGCCGGTCTGACCCGCTGGACGGTTGGACCCTGTGGGGGAAGAATGGTCAGAGCTTCAGTTGATTCCCCTGACCTTTGACCTCTCCCGGGTGTAGTGGATAGAATAGATTTCTGCGCGCCATGGTGATGACGTGCACTAATTGGTCATGTGGTGTTGGGGGCGGTAGCATTTGAAATATCACCTGTTCACTCGCAAGGGGACAGTTTTAGTAGTGAGTGGGTAATGGGGGAAGCCTACTTTTTGCTGACCGCTTTACGCTTTACGCTTTACACCTTATGCTTTTGGATCTGATCGAATTAAGTTTGCTGTGAACGTTCACTCTGGATTGACGCTCGTTGGATTATGGATGCCTATGAACTGATTCAGTGACGTGTTTTAATTTTGGATTACCTGAAGATTAAATAAAGCAATAACACTTATAAGACTTTGGACTGGCGTTTTGAACATCTAGCGCAGTGTTTTTCAACCACTGTGCCTCGGTACACTAGTGTGCCGCGAGTGATGGTCAGGTGTGCCGTAGAAAATCCTCCTATTTCACCTAATTGGTCTAAAAAGATTTTTTGATAAGGAATTAATTATCTGCAAATAATTTTTGAGCGTCTGTGCTGTACTAGTGACTGGTGGAGTCATCATGTAATAATTCCTCATGACTAGATTTGGTATATAATTTTGTATATTAAAGTGTACATGTTAAGTGCAATTTGAAAGAAGAAATATAAAATATGATAAAAATACATTTTTGTGTTTATTTGATTCCTATTCAAGACGCTTAAGATAAGATAAGAATAACTATAGTGTTACTATAGGCGGCTACAGATTTTGTTTTAACATTTTTGGTTGGTGTGCCTTGTCATTTTTTCAATGAAAAAATGTACCTTGGGTCAAAAAAGGTTGAAAAACACTGATCTAGCGCGTCTGGCTCGTTAGTTTCAGCTTCTCGGCGACCTAAAAGTTTGTTGACCAGTCGCCAATACCGGGCCCAGCCCTATATCTCACCTGCCCGCCCCCCTTTTTGCGGTAGGCCACCTCGGCCTTTAGCCCGGCACTGTGGCAGCTCTCCTCTTGGCTCCATTGGACCTCGACGTTCCCGTTGGATTCCCTCACCGACAGATCGGTTGGACTTTGGGGCTTTACTGACCAAAAACGGAGAAAAAGACGGGTCAGGGAGAACCAGGTCAAGTCGGTGGACCTCCGACAGAAGTCTGCGCACGGCTGCTGGAGGAACTGATCTCTCTGGACTCCACAAGTCGGCCTCGTTTCCAGACGGTCGCGCTGTACGTCTCCTCCATGACGAACTGGATCGGAACCGAGCAGCAGCACCATCCGGACTCACACGGACTCACAAAGCTGCAATCCAGCACCCTGGTGGGAAAAACCAGATCCTCAGATCTCCCAACGGACACCATAGAACGTTTCAAGATGCTTAAAACTCGCAAATGAAAGACCACCTGCTGCCTTTAACCCTTTAAAGCCCGATCCAAGAACAAAACAAAACTGAAAATTATTTTTTTTGGGGTTTGAATTCCTTATTTGGCCTTTTAACAAAATATGTAAAAAGAAAAAACAGTAATACTTTTTGTAATATTAATAATTTATTACTATGAGATAAGTCAAGATTATTTTTGGTGTAGTCTTCTGCCCCCTGTTATCAGGTGTATCTGATTGTGTACAACAGGATTTTGAGCAAAGTTTTTACCATTAAATTATGCAAAAGGTGTCAGATGGAAAACATTTCAGAAACCGTATGTATCAAATATGATACATTTGGCATTACAGGGTTAAAAACGCAATTTCACCCAACTTGAGGTTTGTCTTTGTCTAAACTCTGAAATTAAAGTTTAAAAAGTTGATTGTACTAGATTGTTGTAGTTGACTCAACTCTGTTTTTGAAGTTGTCAAAGTTGATTGAAGTTTTTATGACTTTCTGTCTCAACTTAAAACTTTGAGTTCAATCAAAAACTCATTGCACATTATCAATATAAGAAAACTGTCAATTACTTGTTGTTTCAACCTAAAAATGCAATTTAAAACAAAAAAATATAAAACAACACTAATGCAAAAAACTTTCCTTAACTAGTTGAAGGAACACATATATCAGCATTACTGTAACTCACTGTTCCGAGTAAAAATAACTCACTATTTCAAGTTAAAAGGACTTAAATATCAAATTTGCCATAACTAATGGTAAACGACAGAACACACGGAATTCTCGCAACTTGTCAAAAAAAATGTATAAGAAAAACATGTCTGTAGGCTCAAACATTGGCTTCCTGTACAGTAAAACCTCAATCTGAAAGAAACTCTCAATATTGTGTGAACACCCATACTTACACACTAAATAAAACTCAGATAACTGGTTCATCAAAACCTCAATATGGAGAAAAATGATCCATTCTGAGAGATTTACGCGTGAGATTTACGGCATTTACGCACAGTTTCGTTCTCGTAATTGAATGGAAATGGGATTGGGGACCCCTTACTTGTCCCCGTCCAGTGCCTGGTGGTCAGTCACCGTCAGGTTGTAGCCGCTGCAGTCCAGCTCCTGAGGCTGGAAGCGGCAGGACATGCTCTCACAGCCGGTGCTGCAGTCCAGACGCGTCCCGGAGCCTCTACTGCTGTCCGGAGCTGCCGGGGCGCGCGCACAAGTGAGGTTACCGGTCAGCCTCGCGAGCTTAAGGTCCGGTTAAGACGTGCAGAGTACCTGATGGTGCCGGGATGAGAAGCAGGAGAAGCGGCGTCCAGTGGAGGAGAGACCCGGGCAGATCCCGGGTTTGGCGCATCGCAACGCGGGGAGGAATTTTTAAAAAAAGGAGCTCAGGGTTGGAGAAGTCTGCAGGCCAGTCGCAGTCAGGAACGCAGAAAAGCAGAAATAAGCAGACAAGTTGCTAAAGAAAACCAAAACACGCAGGCTGGAGCCTCGCGCTCCCCTCGCGAGGAACCCCGGACGTGACCGTGCTGCGTAAAAATGGGCAGTTTGCATCCGGTCCAAAAGTGACCTGTTTTTTGCATATCACATATGAAAAAGAAAGTCGATATAGATCCCACTACTTTGTACCGTTAGCATGAAAAAACACCGCTCAGAGCATCTTACAAATAAGGAAACTGTCCAAGCACAAATAAGGAGAATTAATAATGCATGTTCAAATATTCCTATACTTCAATAATGAAGTTCAAATATATACGGGGAATTAAAAGCTGGGTTTCAGTTATGTGGGGGAAAAAAAAAACCCAGAGGAGCTGATCTGTAATTCATGTACTGACATGCTGCAACTCGAAGAAATCTTTCCAAAACAACAGCAAAGGGCCTCTTTCCAGAGAAGGGTTTTCCTTCGAGTTCCAAAGAGAGACAAACGAAGCAAAGCTGGAACTGATAAAACTGATAAAACCACAACATTTAAGTTTCCTACGCGCCACCGACAGATGGCATTTGAGGAGGAAACACAAAAAAAGACGTCGTCGCTGTTTGAATAAGTCTCATTTTAAATCTTAATTAAATGTGAAGTCTAAATGTACATCTAAAACAGAACAGATTTGCTGGAATATTTCAGGGTAGTTAAATGCAAAAGGATGAATTGTTAGTAAGTTTGCATTGGATGTCATCATCTAATTCAACCTGTTACCATGACAGTCACTAATAAAAAAACTCTTTGAAAACCACACTCTTTAGGAAATGTGCTTAAAAAGAATAATATTTACCGTTTGCCTAAAAGAAAAAATGAGGTAATTGATCAAACCAAAAGTAGAAATGGTTGGAATTCATTACCAAAAGCTGCTTAAAGAAGAAAATAAAAAAAAGGTTTCGAGCTGTTTTTCCTATTAAAACAAGCAAATAATGGTCACATTCCTCCAGGTTGGACACTCTAAAACTGTGTGAACTGCAGCAAACATACTAGCCTGTCCACAAAAGGCGCCTTTCCACAACTTTATTAAATATGCACATGACAGCGTTCATACAGCTCAGCATTAACACGGTTTACATGGATTTATGCCCCCAAAAAGAAATAAATAAAGCCACACCGAATGTCTCATTTAAGATAATTTATTTTATACAGTAAAACAGAGGTTCGGGTCATGCTTCGTGAACACGACAGCAAAGGATGAACAGAGACACAAACTTTGAAAGCAGCCCTTTCCCAACATTTGCGCGTGTATTGAGTATCTTACAAAGATAGCTAATCAATAAACTCAGCGGTCCATTGCGAAAAAGCGTCCAATGTGTGATGTGAACTGCTGCTAGTGATGAGTCCTCGCGGGGGCAAACACATTTTACATGTTTTTTTTTTTTTAGGGGGGAAAGGTGCGTTCAAGAACGCCACAGATCTCTAAATCGGACTCGCACCGCCATATTATCGATACAGAAACGTTAGCCACACTGGTTCTAACCACGCCTAGAACTAAGAAAAAAAGGCCTTTTCCACATAAGCCCACATAGTGTGTGTGTATATACCTTTACACCACCCGCTGTTAGAAGGCATGTGTGTGTGTGTCTGTGTGTGTGTGTGCGTGTGTCTGCTTGTTGCGCGCATCCTGAGGTGAGTGTTGTGGGGTCTTTGAACGCAGCTCTCTGGGGTTTTAGGCCCGGTCGGGGTGTGGGTGGGGCCTGCCTTTACTTGGGGGGCCGGTAGGCGATCTTGCGGCTCTTCAGGACGGACCAGCGGTGCCTCTTCATGTAGTAGAGCAGCGGGACCAGGATGCCGGCGCCCATCAGCAGCTGAAACACGGACACGGACACAGCAGAGAGGAGTGGTCAGACGGTGTGAATTCAGTGCTGCGCGATTAGTCGAAGCGCGATCGCCACGTCATGCTGCGCAGTTATGCAAATCGCATGAAAAAAACCCTTTATCTAACAGTATGAAACATACAGACATTGAACGTAGCCTACGTGAAAATAGAGGCCTATCAGGCACCTGACTACCGACTTTAATAGGGGACTATTAAAGTTTTCAGTTGAAAGAGATACGAAATTATTGTAATTCTCTGTCTTAGGGTTGTCACGATACTAAGATTTTCAACTCAAAACCACGAGGATGAAAACAAAGACCCCGAAATGTAACTGAATTTGGACAGGTTAGTGTCTTTCTTTTCAAACTGACCTGTTACTGATGTTTTGGTGGCCGGTGGCCCGCTTTAATGTTAGCGTGTTATTATTAGCCATTAGCCGCAGCTAGCAATTCAATGCTAACGTCATGTTAATGATAATTAACAACATAAATAAATATATCGGGATTGGGGGATATCACCACTTTTGAAAATGAGTATCGTAACCGGATACAACGTTTTAGTAGCCCTACTTATTTGAGTATCGATAATTTTGACAACTTTACTCTGTGTTGTCCTTTATATTCAAGCAGGCAGACTCATGACACCATTCATTAATAATATCCTAATATCGTCCACAATAATGGGATTTGTTCAAGTACTTTTTTTTGGTGTCATGTTTGTATGTTTTCAGTTGAAAAAGATAGGAAATTATTGATGTTATCCTAACTGGGCTTGTCCCGATCCGATATTTGGATCTGATGCCGATCTTTTAAAAAAACTACGTATCGGCCGACAGGAGAAAATGCCGATCCAGACTCCCGATCTAGTTTTTTTTAAAGTCCGATCCCACACGATCGTTAGCATTAGCATCTCCTAACCCACAGGTCTGTGTCCTAACCATTAAGTTGTTATGAGAGTAATTCCCTGTTCAACATGAGTCTGACCACTAAGCAAGTAACTAAATAACTTTAAACTTTAATAGATGCTCTGATAGGCCGGGATCGGATCGGAAGTGCAAAAAGCTGGATCGGGACATCCCTAATCATTATCTAGTCCCCAATAATCCTATCTGAGTGGCACCTTCAGTCCCATGCGTTTTCGCTGGTCGTGCTCCGGCTCGGCGGCCCATCGCAGGAAGGTGCACACGTCTTTAGCCACCTGGCTCATGGTGGCGGGAGTTCCTATGGCAACGGACAGAGACAGAGGGGTCAGCACATTCGCCGGGCGCCCGTTGGGCCGTCGCTGGGCGGCCGGACTCAGACTCACCGTCCTCGAACTCCAGGATCTCGTTGTAGATGGGCGGGGCCATGCCGATGGCCTGGCCGGGGAAGTAGGGGTTGTAGTAGAGCCCCTCCCTCACGGCCACGCCCGCCGGGGGCTCGCAGTAGCCCGTCAGCAGGCTGAACACGTAGTCCTCGCCGCCGTGTCTAAGGGGGGGGGGGCAAGGGTCAGGCGCTAGGGTTGTCACCATACTAACATTTTCAACTCGATACCGATCCTCAGGAAAATATTCGATACCATTTTCGATACCGCAAGGATTAAAAACAAAGACCCCAAAATGTAACTGAGTTTCGACAGGTTAGTGTCTTTGGTTTCAAACTGACCTGTTACCGATGTTATGGTGGCCCACATTAATGACCCTAACCCTGACCCTAACCCTGACCCTCCAGCCTTCATAATTGTGAGAAATGTATTTTTTATTTCTGGTTAAACTTGTTTGGACTCATTTAAAAAAACAATTTAACATACACTATTTTAACATAATATTATGGATAGAGTTTAATTAAGTGTTTGAAAGATTAATTTCACTATTTCTAAAATAATGTCTATATTGCCATGAGGCCTGGGATCTTCCTATTGGTGATGTAATCAAAATGGCCGACTTGGATGTGGGCGGAGTTAGATATGTACGCGATTAATGCATGCGTGCTGTTATTAGCCATTAGCAGCAGCTAGCAATTCAAGGCTAACGTCACGTTAATGATCACAAACAATGTAAATAAATACATTAATAAATCAGTAAATGAATAAATCAATATGGCGGCTGTGGGGGCGGGGCTTACCTGGCGTTGACGATGTAGGAGAGGTCCGGCGGCAGGGCGCCGTTGTTGGCCACGCGGGCCGCCTCCGGGTTGGGGTAGGGCTTGGGGAAGTAGTCGGACAGCTTCCCCGTCCGGGTGAACATCTCGCCGCTCTCGTCGGGACCGTCCACCACCTCCACCTGGACACAAGGGGGGGGGGGCGCACCACCGGTCAGAGAGCCGTCGGTGTTGTTGTCTTTCTTTCTCCTTTTTTTTTTTCTCTCCCCCCTCTCTCCCTTTCTTTTTTTTATTATTATTATTTATTATTTTTTGTATTTGCTCATCAGGAGATCATACGTATATTGATGTTACATACATTGTACAAAGCTTACATGACTTTTCAGATTTTTTGTTTTCTTTTTTACACAGTTTTTTTTCCCCTTCCCTCTTTCTTCTCCCCTTTCCCCCTTCTTTCCCTCTTCCCTTCCCTTTCCCCGTAGCAAACATAAATCCCTGTATTAACATAACAAAAACAGGACCAAATAAGTATAATTACATTAAAAAAAAAAAGGAATACATTAACAACCAAAAAAGAAATTAATTCCCTCTCTCTCTTTCTAAAGGATCTCTCTCCTTTCCACTACCCTTCCCTCCCCCCCGTCCCTCTGTCAGGTTCGGCATAATTGGACATATGGAAGTTTGGTAACAAAAATGAATAAATAAAGAAGTTTTGGTTCATCGAGGGGGGCTTCTCACTAACAAAGCCTCCCTTGGCAAAGCAATTTTGTTCAGCATAGCACAGTACTCAGATTTCAGTTCTGCTGCCATAATGCTGAACAGGACTCACCTCCTCAGCGATGGCCTTCACCTCCTCCTCTGTGTGCGACACCCCCACCAGGTTCCTGAAGGCCAGGTACTCCATGCTGTGGCAGGCGGAGCACACCTGCTTGTACACCTGGTAGCCACGGCGGATGCTGGGGGGGGCAAAACAGGGAGACTTCAAATTCCTATCACTGTGGTTTAAGTGGGCCGGTTTCAAATTCTGAGAAATATTTGACATTTTA